GCATGAGTTATAGCGTCATCGACGTTAACTCGTTACCCTGTGCTCAAAAGGTGCGCTCGACTCACAGGTCATTGTCTCAGCGACGATCTGAAAGAACAAAGCCAGTTCCGTGCGTCCACCCAAGCTCATTCTCTCTCTTAAACAAATTTGCCCTTTCCTTTCCTCCGGAGTTCAGACATAACACTCAAAACAATTGTCAATTTCAACGCAAAATCCGCGTTCTTTAATAAGTTATGAATAAGGTATGAATAAGTTGAGAGGCATAATCAGAGTGCATCAGGATGCTTTACCAGCACATTCCAAAAGTAATGTAGTGTATAAGATCTGCTGCGGCAGTTGTGATGCGTGCTATGTCGGACAAACAATGAGACAATTACAAAGGAGCATGAATATCAGAATCATATACGTAGGAATATGAACACACATTCAGTCATTACCGAACACAGATTAGATTACTGTCATGAATTTGACTGGAACAGTATGAAAGTATTATATTGTGAATGTAATTTGCAGAACGGTTGATCTCAGAGATCCTTTTCATTAAGAGACAGAATAATAGTCTGAATTCACAATCTGATACTAAATTCTTGCATCACGCATTTCTATCTTGAGCAAATTGTAACCTCGGTTTGATGGCATGTTGTTGAATTGTAAAATCACCGCGCTCAGTTACTGCTTGAATCTCAAGACATGCAAACGCGTTATGTGGTATGCTGTTCGGTGCAAACGGCGCCGCACTCCTGCGCGTGCTTTCTCCGGTTTAGGGCCTTTTTCATCAATCTTCGATTAAGCTAACCAACGGTTAAGGACACACTTTTGCATAACGCATAATGCATTACACATAAAAAAGTTAACCAATCAGAATTTTTTATTTTTATTGGGGAGTAGAAATGGAGGATTATGATTGGTTCATTTTCTTATGCATTGTGCATTATGCGTTATGCAGAAGTGTGTGCTTTGGCCTTAACTTGACCATCATAATGGCCAACAGTTGAGAATTAAACTGTTTATTATAGATAAGTGTTAAAATTTTTATTTAAGCAAATAATTGTTTAATAATTTTTATTTACATTAATTATCAGATATTACTTACAATTTCTTCTACCTACTGTAAGAATTAGACGACCGTAAGCGGTCATGAAAGAGATTCGGAATATAAACAGCTAACAGAGAGGAGCCGTCGTGGTCGTGCAGACTAAGTGTCGGATTGGTAGACGAGGGATCCCGAGTTCAAATCCAGTCGGTCTCCGTTAATTTTTTCCGAATCTAATAGATATCTTTCACTACCAAGATATCTACAACATAAAAAGAATATTAGATTAAAGAACACACACTATTTTCTGAGCATTGAATTATAATTGGCACTTTTGCGGGTTAACCATCGCTTAACCGAAGATTGATGAAAGAGGTCTTTATGTTCGATTCCACCAACGCAGATTAATTTTAATTTTGGTTCTAATGCCCGATTCCACCAACGTAGATTTAATCTCGATTTAACTTACTCTTCATTTTTTTCTAGCTCTAAGAATTAGAAAAAAATGAAGAGCAAGTTAAACCAAGTTAAGTTAAAATAAATCTACGTTGGTGGAATCGGGTATTAGTGTGAACTATGTTCATCTGATAATTGACAATCTTTTAAAGATGGTCTCATTCTTTAAGAATGACATGTATGTGCAATCATAATAATTCTAGGGTACAGTCAGGGGCTTACTACAAATGCTTTGAAGCATTTTTTGATTGGTGCATTAGTAAAATTCTTTATTATGATTGGATAATCAAACGCTTCGAAGCTGTAGTGTTATATTGACTGTAACCATAGTTAACGATTTTAATGTGGGTGCATTGGATGAACACAGTACCTTATCTTTGTCTTGTATTCACTGAAGATGACTCAACTCGTATGGAAAGAAACTATTGAGAACTATTGAGAACTATTCAGATTTCTATAATTACCATTCAATTTCTATAGTAACTTGAGTAATAACTATTGGCGACTACGTGTATGAATAATAATTGAATAGTAACTACAATTACAACAATTGGTGAATAGTTTTTTTAAAAACCAACTTTAGCATCTATAAACTTTCAGAATTATTCGTCAATAGTCGCAATTACTATTCAATTACTATTCATGTATGTAATTGCCAATAGTTACTGAAGTACTACTGAAGTTACTACAGAGATTGAATAGTAACTATAGAAATCTGAATAGTTCTCAATAATTCTCAATAGTTCCTTTTCATATGGGGCTATAAAATGCTGTTGCTTTTTAAAAAAACATGTAATTGCATATTACGAATTTCATAATTCTTTTTTAAAAACAACTATATGTTTTCTATGCACTAATTTATTTATCTTATTTTATGCATAAAAGTATTAAAATATAATAGCAAAGACTAAATAGTTTATGAGATATTTTATATTTTATGTTGAAATGTGTAAGAATAAAGTGTAAAGTTGTTAATTTTTTGACAATTTTATTTTAATATTTTTACATGCAGATAATCGGAAAAATCATGTATTGATTTTTTTCGAAAATTAATTTTACTATTATTTACATTATTTCTCTTCAAAACGTATATCTTTTATTTCAAACATTTTTCCGTTTTTCTTCAATAATTTTCAAAAAAATCTCAATCCGTCATTTAAAATAAGACATCCTGTACATATATCATTATTTTAAAAAATACAATAAAAAGATAATCTACTATAATCTACTAATACTAATCAAGGTATCCGCGTATTATTCAAAGTAACTGGTATATCATTCAATACTAATATCAGATTTCCATGATTTTTCATGAAAATCGCGAATTAATAACTTGTAGTTATTTGTTCTAATAGAATAGCAAACTACTCATGATTCTAATAATAAAGAATAGTAAATCCTTATAAATACTATATAAATCTATTCGCTCCAATAGTAAACTATTTACGATTCTAATAGTAATAAATAGTAAGTGCCTGTAGTTACTATTCGTTCCAATAGTAAACTATTTATAATTTTTATAGTACTGAATAGTAAATGCTTATAATAACTATTCATCCAATAGTAAATTATCCATGTTTCCAATAGTAATATCCCATAATATTACACAAAATTTCAATAATTTTCTGAATAGTTCTGATAGTTCTGAATAGTTATATTTCTCAATAGTTCTCAATAGTTTCTTTCCATACGGGAAGCTAGAATCGAAACGTATATATTATATATTTAAATTGTAATAAAGAATGTCAATTGCTCATTGTAAACAGTGTTGATTCTCATTTGCCTATTTACTACATTACGATAATATTTTTATTGATATTAAATTTAATTGATTAAACAATGGATATTATAAAAAATATTTAACCTATGAATTTTATTTAAAGGTTAGATATTAATTTTTTGTTAATTATATCTTATTATTCTTATTTTTTATTTTTATTTTTTCTTATTTTTATTCTTACTTTTTCTTATTAGGCTTATTTTTTATTTTTATTTTTATTTTTTTATTTTATTTTTTTTTTATTTTATCTTATTATTTTTATTTTAATTATATCTTATTATTCTTATTTCACTTGGATCAATTATTTGTTTCTGATCTTTTCGTTTCTTATTCTAATAAAATAAAATTCATTTTGATGTTCGTTTACGCAGTACTGCAAGCAAAGCATCCAAAGCAGGATTTCCGAGAGAGTTGCGCAGATGAGATACATCCCCACATAAATGAACGACGAACTGCGCTGCAGCAGAGAAGAATCTTTTGATTGTAGTCATAGCGTCAGGTGAAAACGCTCCCTCATATAAACTCTGATTGTGGATACGGTCAAAGGCTTACTACAAATGCTTTGAAACATTTTTTGATTGGTGTATTAGTAAAATTCTTTGTTTTGATTGGACAATTAAACGCTTCGAAGCATTTGTAGTGTTACATTGACCTGTATCATTGTTAAATCGTGGTTGATCACGATCCTTGTATTTTCTGAATTTTATTAATGTTAATCGTTTAAGCGATTTTTTCCAAGATATTAAAAGATGTCGACAAAATCCTCAGTAGATTTGCGAGCGGAATTAGCGGAATTGGTAAAACGAAAAGCTGAGATCGCTGTGAGTACATATGTCACAAAAGTTTTTATGGCTCGTGTGATTCAAATACACAAATACGCAAAATATCATTATACGCTTACGTATACGTTTACACATGCAAAATTTGTAAATTGCTTTCATTATTGGTCAATTTTTAATAAATTAATTAGATAAATGATCGCATATGTACGTGGTTTATAAAGCTACAAGGTTATAGTATGAAAAATAAGATTGAGAATGAATGTGTGAACAGTAAGAAATAATTAATATTAATTGATTAATCTTCAATTAATCGAAAGTAGCTTCTGCCATTGATCGATATCTTTGTCATATTATACAGTGATTATCAATAATAATCGATAATAAATAATTTCATATACAAGGAAAAGGCTAGAAGTATAGAAAATCATGTTTATAGGATACATTAGCCAACTTGGAACGTCAAATATACGCCTTTGAGGGAAGCTATTTAGAGGATACACAATTATATGGAAATATAATAAGAGGTTGGGATAGGTATTTAGCTAGCAATAAGAACACCAACAGTAAAGCTGATAAACGTAATAGAAAATTTAAAGAAGCAGAAAGATTGTTTTCTAAATCGTCTATTACATCTATGGCAGTAAGTAAATAAATTTATTTAATGAGACTATGGGTATATTGTATGCATTTTATTATAAACTCAAATTAT